GCATCAACCTAGCGACAAGCAGCAAGTGCAAGAGTGAATTTCGGTACGAGTACCTCCCCCAATGTTGGCAAAATAGGGAAAACTTCAAAACTGGCAGTTTTCCCAAACTCCTGAAAAATCGGAGACAGGGCCCGGCGACACCTGCCATTGATAAATCTCATCGGCACCTGTCATTTCCTTTTGGCCCCCTAAAAGGTCGGAGGCCCACCCAAGGCCCGCAAATTTCCCACTCGGCAAAGGTACTACTGGTGACGATATTGAGAATCATCGTTGAGATGCCCGTCCCCAGGCAATTCATAAATATATGTTTTTTTTTTCAGTACCATTTTACTCGATGACATATTGTTCCATCATGATCTGGATTCGAACTCGGGTCTTTATTTCAACACTTCATCAGCGTACCCACTGAGCTACGCTCTTCGATACAACGTTGACAATTTGTCCGCAACGAAATCTGTGGGCGAAATCTGTGGTTGGGGTGTCCGTTGTCCGATACAAACTGTCACACCTCTCTTTCCCTTCTCTCTCTCCCTACAGTTGATACAGCAGATCTTTTTTTTTTCCAGGCGGATCACGAAACTAACGGCTGCAGACAAGAGCTGGATTTGTCTTCTTTGGCATCCAGGCTGTTGCACAGATCCCCCGCCCGCCCCCCTCCAAAAAAAAAGGAAGGACTTGGCCCCAGAGAGCGGGAAATAAACGAAACACAGAAGAGAAAAAGGGGAGTTAAAAACAAAGGTTCTGAAAGGAGAAAATTGAACAAAAAAACAAAAGAGCTTCCTCACACAATTGCCTGCGCGGCACGCGGTGGGGGGTTAGCTCCATGTTACGAAACAAAGTGTGGCCTCGCTGCCCAGCTGTCCATTTGTGAAAAGCGAGACCAAATCCTCAGCGACAGGGCAATTAATGCCGGCAGGCCTTCTGATGTATAGTCGGACGCTGGACCCACTTTCCAGGCATTCTGATGTATAGTCGGACGCTGGACCCACTTTCCAGCACGTGATGCTCCCCACCTTTTGTAGACCGGGACACCCAGGACGCGTGCTAGGAGGGAATGCTCGTACCACCTTTCCTCGCACGGACACTGGTTTAAAATAAAAAAAAATAAAAAAAGGGAATGCTCGTACCACCTCTCCTAGCACGGACACTGGTTAAAAAAAAAAAAGAAAAGAAAAGAAAAGAAAAGAAAAGAAAAGAAAAGAAAAGAAAAAGAAAAAGAAAAGAAAAGAAAAGAACAGTGACATCATTGAATGAACCAACAGGCCTGGCTCAGTTGGTACACCCAGAACTCTTGTAATACAGAACCGAGTTCAAATCCCGTTGCAGTCAGAGATAGCAAATACACAATTGTTCTGTCAGTTCAGTGAGATGATATCTTACGGTCGTCACAAACGGAAAAAACAAAAAAAAAAGTCACCATTGGATGGTCCAAAGATGACACAAAAATCAAGATATGGTCGAAATTGGAAAAAAGGGAAGGAAAAAAAAATAGTCAAAACACTGCAAAGTGGAAAACCAAACAAAAAAATAGAAAAGAAAAAGCTAAATTGTCAAACAGCTGTCATTGTTTTTGTCTTTTGCCAAGATTTTGTGCATCTGGCGAGTGGTTGAGCGAGGCCCCCAGAGCAACGAACTGCTCCGCAAAATGAGAATGAATCTTCTATTAGAACATGGGATGATACAGACAACGTTACAGACAAGATTACCATCGCCCTGTGAAAGAACTCCACGCATGAATCAAAACAGTTCATTCTGGGCTCCCAAATCCTAGGGTTCAGCCTCCTGATGAGTTATCATAGGGGCCCAGGACCACTCGCCCAGCCGCGCCAAATAAACATTATCGCCAAATAAACATTATATATATATATATATGAGGGTTCAGCCTCCTGATGAGTCGGTGAAACTCCAACAGTTTGTCGTATATATTGTCACATTGTGAATCAGAGCATATATATAGTCAAACAGAGCTGCCTACGGTAAACCGGTAGGCATAGAGGGAGAAAGGGAGAAGAGGACAACAAACGAGGGGCTGTGGCAAACTGTTTCGTCGGAGTTTCACCGACTCATCCGGAGGCTGAACCCTCAACAGTCTGCCGAATCCCCTATATATATACATATATATACATATATATATATAATCAAACAGAGATAGTCAAAGAGTACATAGATATTCCATCAGACAGAACTACCCGGTAAACCATAAGGCAGAGAGGGACAAGAGGGAGAAGAGGACAACAAACGAGGGGCTGTGGCAGACAGACTGTTTCGTCGGAGTTTCACCAACTCATTAGGAAGCATCAAAGACTGCCTGTGGTGGGCAGCAACCACTGCCCTCAATGTACCTGTGACGAAAATCAAAGCAGCCTATCACTCACTCACCCACACCAGATGGAAAACTCAACAGACTGTCGGTTCACACCCCATCACAAGCAACAATCTAGCAAAACACCCACGAAACAAAGAAAGGTCTCTCCTAGCCAATTTTTTAATGCAAATTCCATTTTTGCCATTCACCCGGTTTTCCACTCTATGCTACCGGTACCCCTCTTGAAACGGCGCTACCGATCCCCCGAGGTTTATGACCTCGGGGGGAGTGGCGGTTCAATAGCAGCTTTTTTTTAACTCCTTTAATTCTCTTTTGTACTTCATATCAAGCTGAGGAGAGAACGCTATAAATACTAGAAAGAGAAATCAGAAGAAACATAACGAAACAAAGCGCAAAAAATTTCAATGGTTAAAACAAGAAAGTGAAGTAAACAAAAAAAAGAAAATAGATTCTTTTTTTTTTTTTTCGTAGGCTAATCATGATGCCTTTGCATCTGCAGCGAGCCCGTGTCAGAGGGCTGAAAAGTGACGTTGGCTGTCGATTTCTTTTATCGACCGCGCGCTTGTGCCGACACTTCCACATAGCGACGAATCTCCTCTTCAGCAAGGCTGGGGCCGTGTGCGGGCAGTTTAAACCGCCAGAATGTTTTCCATCACTTCTTCTCCGATGCAGTCACACAGCAAAAAGAGGCTTGGTGCTCGACTCCTTTCCGCCACAGCAAAAAGAGGATCGTCGTAGGTAGTGGCGGTTTAAAGTTTAAACCGCCGGCACATTTTCAAGCACTTTTCCTCCGATGCAGCTGGCTGCATGCACGCAGCACCTTTCAGCGGTCGACTGCCAGAGCACAATGAATGGGAGCGCCAGCCAAGCGGACGGGGAGGCCTAAAGGGGATCAACTCTTTTGGGAGTACAGGCTGTTCCAAGCCTCGCAGAAAAGAGGCTCGCGAATACTGGTGGTTTAACAGGTTGCCCCTTCAATTACCGAGCTCTCAAGTTTTAACTTTTACCACAGTCATTGCAGGTGCACCTGACCTGGGAACTCGAACGAATACAGGAACGATTGCCCGTTGTTTTTATCAGTTCCTCCTTCAATTACCGAGCTTTCAAGTTTTACCACAGTAAATGCAGCTGCATCTGACCTCAGAACTGGAACGAATACAGGAATAATTGCCCGATATACTTCACATATCATCTGCTTGGGATCCCACCACCTACATCTCATGTTCTCCACTCCCTGTTTTCTTTCATCTGCATCTTGCTGGGGACTGCATCTGGTTGCAGACCTTCCAATTCCAAGGACTGGCTATAAGACGAGGCTGACAAAAAAAAAAAAAAAAAAAAAAAAAAACAGACGACGACGACGAAGACGAAGAAGAAGAATAGCCAGTGATTGTCACAACACAGGTTATGCCAGCAGTGCCCGGAAAAAAAAAGAAAAAAAAAAAAGAGAAAAAAACAGACAGGTGGGACCATAGGCACCGAGGACGAAGAGGAATACAAACAAGGTGCTGTGACAACTTCACAGTTTCATTGACTCATCACTCACGAGGCAGCTAAACCCTACCTTACAGTGTGCTCAGAGAGTCCCAAGCAATTGAAAGATGAGGAACATTCTTCAAGTCCAGAGAGAGAGCTTAACTGCCAAAWAAARAACTCAAAAAAAAAAAAAAAAAAAAAGAGGAAGAGGGGCTGCACAGAGGTCCCTTTCTTTATCTGGCTCATCGACCAGCATCCATCCAAGCACACCGCTACCGATAGATGAGCCCTTTCTTTAAACGACAAGTACTTGGCCCATATATCGGCAAAGCAGGCCATTGTCGGAAACGCGCCGCATTAAGCAGGCTTCAGGCCTACCGGACCCCAAAGGCTGGCAGCGCCTCGCAAACGAGAAGACAAAAAAAAAACAAGTTGTGCTGACGGTTCAACAAAGCTTGGCGCATAGGGCATTTCCAGAACCAGAGAAAAGTGCCTCCAAGGCTCCAAGCCTGGTCATTAAAAGTGCCTCCAATGCTCCAAGCCCCTTTCCACCCAGCTACAACAGATTGGAAATGCTAAAAGAGCTCTGCATTTTCAGTCTGCTTCCATATACACCGCCACCCCCTGGATAACACTCCATCAAACTGAGACTCTGCTGAAATGAGAAGTGTTTTTCTTTTTTTTTTGCTGAAATGAGAAGTTATTTTACCTCCCTACAGCAATGGTGAAAACCTGCGGGGAAAAAAAAAAAAAAAAAAAGTGCCCGAAACCTTCCCATCATATCGCCACTCATCCCTGAACTCTTCTGTGAAGGATCCTTGATGCCACTAGGGACGTGTTATCCATCAGGAAAAAAAAAACAGCGATGATATTAATGAGCAGTCACAATTCACACCAGCGAATGGACAACCGACTCCAAAAAAAAAAAAAAAAAAACAGCAACGATATTCATGACCAGTCAAAATTCACACCAGCCAAAAAAAAAAAAAAAAAAAAAAAAAAAAAAAAAAAAAAAAAAAAAAAAAAAAAAAAAAAAAACCCAGCTATGATATTCATGAGCAGTCACAATTCACACCAGCAAACAGACAACCGATTCCAAACAATTGTAATGGGCAGCGCCACACTACTCTGAGTACTCTCCCAAAACGAGAAAGAATAGAGCATGTATCTTCTGCCAAAAACCAAGAAAGATACACCCGCCGTAGGTTTTATCTTAGTCTCCTTCTTCGAGTGGTGGGTCTATGCGCAATAAGCTACAAAGTTACTAACAGCATTGAAAATAAAATAAAACTGGCTATTGCCTGCGATGATGTATGCGTGGCAAGCAGAATGACAACACAGATCATCAAAGACACCCACAACTGCAGGTTCAGTTATGGGTTGCACAATTACCGCAGGCAATATGCAGCACGACTTCCGGCACACACTTTTTAGCGTTCAGAAAATGAACCAAAAAAAAAAAAAAAAAGAGTAAATTTGTGATAAACATTTTGGCAACAACAACAACACATCCTCGATGACAAAAGCGAAAAAAAACAGGCACGCACATGGATTAAGTTTTGTCGATAGACGACAGATTGGCACATATGATTCAATTGTGGATATATTGGGATAAACAGGCTGTTAACTTGATGAACCTGGTCAAAAACGTTGGCGTCCTCCGTCGATTTCCCCCCGTGCCACATTATCCTGCTGCTTACTTGTCTGCTTGCCGCCACCACAATTGTCAGCTCAGTTCACCCCAGCCAGCCAGCCATATTCCAGTTTTGCCCCTGTTGCAGTTCCGATCTGCCCTCGCCGCAGTTTCGTAATCGGAAACACCGCAAATTAATTTTATTCAGAGAATTGGACGACTACTCCGGGGCAAGGTCCCACTTGCACGGATTAGGAGAATCTGGCCGTTGATCTTTGTTATCTACAGTCAATATCGCTTAATTCGTGCAAGTGGGACCTAGCCCCCGGCCACCGCCAGGCTTTTTCTCAAGGAAAGAGAATCGCTATACCACTGTTCAATTATTCGATTACCATTTACGCGAATCATACCGATAACGCACACTTTAAAACTAGCGCAGTCGATAATCGGACCACATTCGAAGCACTCCATCGAGGAGGGGTGTCCGGACAGCATAACCCTGTGAAAGTATGGGGGAGAAGGAACAAAAAAAAGTTCACTCGGAGTCTCCAGAACTCCAAACTTCTCCAGCTCCTCGCATTTTATTGCAAAAACAAACCCCAACGTTCCAACCAAACCGCGACGATCGCATGATCCCATGTACTGTCGAAATACAGACCCGGGTTCGAATCCAGATGAACAGAACAGTATGGCATTCCGCCAAAAGCTTCAAAACCCACTAAAACATGTCCAAAGGGGAGGAGAAGGGGGGGGGGGGGGGGGAATATTGGCCATTCAAGGGGGCCCAGTTTCCAAGGTGGTCCCAACGTCCATCAAAAGTGGGTTCTAACACCGTTCCAAAAGGTCGTACCGCCGTCCCAAACGGTTCCAGGTTCGTTCCTCGCCAAGGTAGATTCCAACGACTCCGCGGCCCACAGCTGATTCAGGTCCCCTCGAAACGGTTCCAAGGCCCCTTGAAAGGGTCCTCAGATCATTCCGACTGCCGCTTCCAAGTTTATTCCTTCCAAATGACGCCAAGGTCCTGCCTGGTTGAACTGGATCGCAACAGCTCCCCGAGGATCATCGTCTCACCATTCAGCAGCATCCAAAAGTTCTATCGACGTGGAGAAACAAAACAACCCATGCAAAAGGTACCAAAGCGTCGTCGCAAAAGCTGGGACCATCATTCCAAACGGTTCAAAGTTTGTTCCAACCGAATGACGCAAAGGTCCACGGTCGATCCCAACGACTCCGAGTTCATAAGATCAATCTGGGCTCAACAACATCCAGCCACACAGCTTCCATCGACAAATGGGTCATCCAAATGGGTACCAAGCGCCATCGCAAGGGTCGTAACATCGTTGCAAACGGTTCAAAGTTTGTTCCAACCAAACACACGACAGGAAGGACCGCCGTTCCAAACGACACCAAGGTCCATAGTTGGTTCCAGCGACTCTGAGGTCCTGGTCCACCATCCAGCCACACCCAAGGTCCGTCTCACGTTGCCAAATGGTCCATCCATCCTAACGGCATGGAAGTCAGTCCGAACAGTCCTCGTCTCCGATGAACAATTCTAAGGGCAGGCGGACGAGTTCCAAGGGCCCACTGCGAAGCATTCATGGCCTGTTTGCTCCACATGCTTTCGCACCTCCACGTCAGTAGTGACCCAGAAAGCTGTTTTCGCTTTTGGTGTTCCTTCTAATAATATCTATGAGACGTACAAAGCATTAATGATAGACCCTTGGGACTCGCCACCACCGAGCAAGCTGGCCGTGAAGCATTCATAGCCTTCTTAGTTAGTACGCCTCTTATCCGTTGCGACTAAACAGCGAAGTCGATCTAGACAGATGCAGGCATGCAGCAGAGCCAACACGCACCAACACTCTGAGCATGGTGGACCCACAACGGCACGCTTGCAGGGCTCCACACTATGACAGAACCTGGTCTATGGCAGGGCGCACTTGGCACGGCTGATTCCGTCTATAACTAAACAATAACGCTCATCTGGACAGTTCTACGAGCCATCCGCCAGGGCCAAGGCCTAGCGTGCGCACAAATCAGGCCGCTTACAAGGCCCCGCGGAAGGAAAGAGTCCGGTCAGTCCGAACCAGGAAAGAACCTGGTCCAGATGACTGTGGACGTACGGCACGAAAGTACACCATACAAGCAGAGCATCCATACACACACTACAGTTTGCACATCCCACAATTAAGGCTGCTGCAAAACCGAGAAACCGAGTCGACAGCAGAACTGTCACCGTATGTTCTTCGCACATCAGTGTCCATGTGAAAAGGCTGCTGCAAAACCGAGAAACTACTGTGAAAGCTCCGTGAAACGAACATAGCACTCCTACCGCCTTGCTGATTTCGCTTCTCCAATTATTCAACACACGCCAGCAATCCTTCGAGCCCTCGCCGAGGACGACCCAGATATTGCCGTCTTTCAACAAGCGCACTTACGGCATCACGGTCCTGAACCAAACCCCCACAACGAGGAGGACGGAGATGTCGCCATATGCCTCAAACAGCTTATTAACCACATCAGAGTCCCAAACTAAGCCCAGGTTAAGGAGAAGGGCCCTAACCTAACCCCCATTCAGTTCAGGGGGCGTGGCAAAACGAGTCAATCGATAATACCGCAGCCCGGCCCAACACCGCAGATTGTACCTACTTATAGCCTACCTGCCTACTTTTCACACCAAACAAAGCACCCAGCCAACATCCTTACCCACATAGGCAATGCACCGCTTTCATACCAGAAAGCCAGGTGTTCCCGCCACCCCCACCCAAGCCTGATGAGCAAGACATTTGCTCTCACGTCATCCACACACGCCAACTCCCAGTTCAAACCCCTCTCTATTCATTCTCTACGTTGCCCTCAAACCCACCAAATGACGTACGTTCAAGCACCAGACAAGCATAGCATACCGCTAAACCTTAGGCGTGCACAGTATGCCCCTCTACCATCACACCCTCAACTCACCGCCCTGCACCTGCACCGGCGCCAAACAAACAACCTTCCACTCGAGAGATAGCATGGAGAAACTGTCCCCCCCCCCCCCCCCCCCCCCCCCCCCCCCCCCCCTCGGTAAATAATAATTTAGTACCGATCTACACATTGGCCTCTTTGCCTCGCCTAGAACAGTAGTCAATGGCATTGTTGCAGTCCACGCAACCCCCCAACACCTACCTCCATTCTTTGCACATCGCGCATTGCGCATCAATGTTTATCGTATGCGCTCCTGCAAATCCTGTAGGAAATTTGAGGCGACACTCGTCAACTTCTTCCCAGCAGACCCTGCTAAATTCTTCAGTTGGGCAACATCCTGCAAAACAGCCAGAAAAAAAAAAAAAAAAAAAACACAGATAATCTTCAGAACTAAGTACGAGAACAAGAGGATGAAGAGCAAGAGGAGGATGAGGAAGAGGAGAAGGAGACTAGAGGATGAAGAGCAAGAGTGAGATACTTCCACAGCAACAACAGAAGTAGGACAACAAGAGGATGACGAGGAAGAGGCGGAGGACGAGGAAGAGGAGAAGGAGACTAGAAGACGAAAAGGAGGAAGTGAACGAGAAAGAGCAAAGAGGAAGAGGATGGAGGAGGAGGAGGAGAGGATGGAGGAGGAGGAGGAGAGGATGGAGGAGGAGGAGGAGGAGGAAGAAGAAAACAACGAGGAAAAGGAACGAAGAGCAAGAAGAAGAGGAAGAGGAGGAGGAAGAGAAAGACACAGGAAGAAGAGGAAGAAGAAGAGGAGAGGAGGAGAAGAAGAGGAGAGCAGCAGCAGAAGAAGAGGGAGGAGCAGGAGGAGAGGAAGAATGGAGGAGGAGGAGGAGGAGGAGGAGGAGGAGAAGGAGGAAGAAGAAAACAACGAGGAAAAGGAACGAAGAGCAAGAAGAAGAGGAGGAGGAGGAGGAAGAGAAAGACACAGGAAGAAGAGGAAGAAGACGAGGAGAGGAGGAGAAGAGCAGCAGCAGAAGAGGGAGGAGCAGGAGGAGAGGAAGAAGAAGGAAGAAGAAGAAGACAACGAGGAAAAAGAACGAAGAGCAAGAAGAGGAGGAGGAGGAGGAGGAAGAGAAAGACAGAGGAAGAAGAGGAAGACGAAGAGGAAGAAGAAGAAGAGGAGAGGAGAAGGAGAAGAGGGAGGGGCTGCGGCAGGAGGAGCAGCAGCAGGAGGAGAGGAAGAAGAAGAGGAGGAGGGGATGCCCCTTGACGTTTCCAGTGTAGGCATACTCAGTGCTGATTATCACGAATTATGCACTACTAATAGATTAAAAGGCAAGTGGAAAGACAAGGTGGTAAAGGGGAGGTTCGGATAAACAGATTGTTTGCGCTGTGTGTTTTAGATTTTCCCCACAACAGCCCCAATTCCACCCAGATGAATAGATTCAGAATCAAATCTGTCTTTGACACTTTGTCCTAATGCACACAAGGAGAGCATTTGAGACACTCCAACATATTAAAGCAATTTTATAATTAGACATTTTTTTGGTTGTCCTTGGGGTACCCCTTCCATTGTTCTTGCAGCTCCCCTTTTACTATGAGCTCTGTGTGTGTGTGTGTGTGTGTGTGTGTGTGTGTGTGTGTGTGTGTGTGTGTGTGTGTGCGCGCGCGCTGTGTGTGTGTGTCGCGCGCGCTG